GTATGTTGTTCTAGTGTTCTTTATCGTCTAGTGAAGTTATCGGACTTGTAGCTGGCATGCTTTCTGTTCTATAATTTCGAATTTTGCCTGTCTTGTAGATATGTATAATATCATTCACATAGCTGTACATGATATTTGTGTCTCTCTTGTTGTTGTGTAGTATGATTATTACCATGTTGTTATGCTTATTCTCAGTCCTATAAATATGCATGTTCATTGTGTCATAGTTGTGGATGATTTCTGTACAATAAGTCTGAATCTTATCTTTGAGAAAGTTGTGCATAATTGTTGTTCGTGTTGTTCAGAATGTTCACCGCTCTGAGTTCTGTATGTTCACTGTTACATAGTTTTGTGTGTTTCACAGATCAGCACATTTTCTGTGTTTTTTTCAGTACTTCATGTTTACTATTTTATGTTTATGCATCATCTTATTCCTATAGTTATTCATAGTCATAGTCCAGTTTGCATGTTGTTTGTTCTGTAGTTGTGCATTATTTATGTTGTTTTGTTCAGCATGTTTTGTCTTGTAGTTCTGTTCTGTAGATGTGCATGTTTCTTGTCACATAGGTCTGTGTTCTTTATCTGGTAGTTGATAAAGCTTTTCTGCATGTTCACTATTTTGTAGTTTATCATGCTCTATGTTTTTTAATTGTGGATATTTTCTGTCTTGCATGCCTGTACTGTAGTTTTATATGCTTACTGTCACGAATTTGTATTATTTTTCTGTGTCACAGTTGTGTTGGCTCTTAATCATGTTGTTCTGCATGAGTTTTATCTGTAATTCTGGAAGTATTCTCTCTTCTGAAGTGTGAATTTTTAATTGTATTGTATGATCTCAGTTCTCTAGTTATGCATCTCCATTGTCTAGGATTTTTGTATGATTAGTGTCATGCAGTTATAGTTGTTATCGCTCTTGAATACCTTTACGTTAACTGAGGAATAATAGCATATATACTCTGTCACAGTGTATAATCTCTTTCTGGTGATTCTCATATTTTCTGTCCTGTAGTTGTACATAGATTCTGTTGTCTTGTTTTACATATTCTCTGTAATAATACTGTATCTCTTGCAGTCTTGCATACCCTTTATATTTTAACTCTTCATTTTCTCATTTTGTTGTTATATATTACCTTCATCCTGCAATTATATAGGATTTCAGCTAAATTTTAAGCATGTTCTCAGTGTTATAGTTGGAAAGCCTTATTACCACCATAATGTGGGGTCATGGTCAAGCAGAGAGTGGTGCAGAGATATGTATAAAATATTATGAGTTATGGTTTATATCCTTTGAATATACATATTTGTAATGATCATTGACATAATCTAGGATTGTGGGATTCCACACAGGGACATAAGAGTGCAGTATTATCAGTTTGTGAGACTCTATTCATCTGGTGAATAAGAATCACGAAACTGCTCTCTTGTTCCAACAGCCAGATTGCCCAAACTAGCTAAGAAGCTGGCCAGTTAAAGTAAGACCTCAGCATTTTAATGGAGTGTGTATGTGTATGAGAATGTTTGGTATTTCTTATCTTTATGAGTTTGTGAGCTTCCATTCCTTTGATCTCGGTTATTGTCTCATGAATTAAACGTTGTGTAATGTATAATATACTGTAGTTATCTTTAACCTAATCTTACGATTTCAGTATACCTGGATACTAAAGATCAAGGTATTAAATTACATCTTTACGCCATGATATATGATCTGTTTTTGTGGAGTTTATTTGAATGTGTACTTATTCCTCTCGATTCTCTGGTTAGTTAAGTTCTTAACTGTGATAGTAGAAGAGTATTTTTGAGACAATGCAGATCTTACAGGGGGTAGGAGGAAGCTATTCTTAAGGTGAGCATATGATATGAAAATGTGGCAAGAACTAGGAACCCTCTCGTGGACTAATGATTTTTGTCACCCGTGCTGAGAGCTATGTCTACATTCGTGATCCATAACATTTATAGGTGGCTAGAAAAAATCCCAGCTGCCTCAACTCAGTTATTACTGATTATCTCCCACACGTAGCAGCATACGTTGGTAAAGATGGGCCATTGTTTGACAAATAGCCTGAATATCTTGAGACTAACTAGACTTCTAAGTACTTATTAATCACATCAGCCATTTCTAGCCATTAGTCATCTGTAACCAAGAGAATGGTGTATGAAAATTAGCATAAATAGCTGTGTCCTCATCAAATAGAATAACCAACTCTCACTATGATTCTGTTGATTCTTAGAGAAGTCAAGAGCTTTACTATATAGAAAGCACACTGATAATGCTGATGTTGTGAGATCACATCCTATAGCTTAGACTGATGCAGAATATGATTATGATATATTTTCTTACCTCCAGTGGTCCTCTGATTTAATTTCGTCATATCAGCCATGATGATCAGGATGTACATGTCTTCAGACCTTGTGAGGATGAGGACAGCCTTCCTTGAATATAACAGTGTCTCAACTGCACAATCATCTATGACTGTTGTTATTTCTTTGGCAATAATACCGTTGGTGGTGGCATTACCAACAGTGGATGAATTTACTCTGAACAAATAATCAGGGTCTGTGAAAGCCCCAGGTTCCTCTGAAGTGTAACCATTTCACTGGCTACACTGTCACAGTCACCAATTCATACTATAGCTATCATGGTTCATTTAGAGTCAGTAGAGTTTCCTCTGTTCAATTTTCGTGACTCTACCATCTATTCAGTGAGATTTGACTTCAAAAAATTATGAGGGAAAGAGCTTTTTAACAATGGCTTACCACTGTTGGATGTGGTATTTTCCACAGATCTTAAAATAAGACCTAAAACTGGAGCGCTTTCGAATAGTTCAATATGAAATATGAATAGTTCAACTAGTTATTAATAATATTTGTAAAAGTGGATACTTTGTGAAATATGAATAGTTCAACTAGTTATTAATAATATTTATAAAAGTGGATACTTGGTGAACTATGAATAGTCCAACTAGTTATTAATAATATTTATAAAAGTGGATACTTAGTTTGAAGCAATGTCACTTCAGTGAAATTGGTTGACACCATGGTTTTGGTTGTGAATGAAGTAAAACCATAAATTCAAACTTTTTGTTATGATATTGACAGACATTCCCAGAACTTATGACTCAGTCATTACATAGATACTGTTATAAAAGGAAAACTGTATAGTACTGTAAAGTTCTGATGAACTATTGAGGAGATATTTAAAATACAATTTCGATGAACAATCCGAGCCATTCATACATAGACAGTGCTGCCACCTGTCTAATAGTCAGATTTTCTATCACTTTGTATCACTTGTGTATCAAAATTAAATGTGCTGTCTTATGGCATTTCCTTTTAACGTATTAGATTCATGCTATAGAATACAGACCATTTTTATATTCTCATTTTGTTTTCCATTGTCTTTCTTATGCAATAAATAAATCTTCTGTCACTTTTACATCAAAGCAGTAAATTAATTCTGTGTATTGAGATAACCCTTGTTCCACGAAGTCACTGGTCCATGCGGTTCACAATTGTTCAATTTTATAACAAAAAACTATAAGAATAGTTTATCTTGGAGGTTATCTCTCTAAGTTATTCTGTAATTAAGCTATAGAAAACTCTCAATCTGTACTCAGCTTGTAGCATACTATCTGGCTATTGTTTTCTTGTGTTTTGTTTACCTAGTCATCTATCTAACGAAGCAGTAAATATTTGTAGACAGCGTCACTTTACAAGTTTATACTGTACATTAATCTGTGGTAAATTGGTCATTCGTCACTAGTTTATCATTACATTAAAAACCAGACTTGTTAATAATATCTGCTTTCAGCTTCCACTTTTCTTATTAAGGAAACGAATATATCCCTGAAATAGAACAAGATTTATCGATTTTTTTTCCGTAAAGTTATTGTTTGTTTGTATTTAAGCACAAAGCAACACAATGGTCTATCCGTCTGTCTGTGCCCATCGCGGGTATCGAAACCTGGTCTTTAGCATTAGAAGCCTTCAGACTTATCGCCTAGCCACTGGAGGGGGACGGGGGTGTAAACTAAAACCCACCAACTATTGAAGTATTAAACAGACTTAATGACCCACACATTTTATTTGTGTATATTTTTGTTGTTTTAAATAATATAGACCATGACTTATGGGAAAGTGATACGATGGTTAACTTCTAGTTAATTGTTATAAGGTGTGACCGACCAAAATACAGCCATATAATGCATACTAAAACAAAAATTGCCTTAAGTGATTCTCGACTAAGAATAATTAATCTACAGGTAGCTAGCTCTAGGTGCTGCAGATAATCAACGATTTGATAATAATGAATTGGGGGATTTAAGAGACAAAACAAGATGTATAACATAAAATACAAACTGTATTTTACACTTCGCATGGAACACTAAAGAAAAATCACAGTAAACAAAGGAAACTAAATTTAGTGTTTGAACTTTGAAAGAAAGAAATGAAGGAATGTTTATTCAGCTGGACTTTGTGGAAAAGAAAAGACAATGATCCAGAGTCAAGTCTCAAAAACACATCGCACAAAAGTACCTACGGGGTTTAAACACACACACACATATATATATATTATGTATTTGGCAGTGTCAGTAGTCATAGTTCTTATTTATTCTATACTTTACCTTTGGAGGTGTCTAATTTTTACTCTCTCATTTCATTCAGCCAAATAGACATTTCTCACACTTAAATAGTGACCTCTTCTCCATGCTACTGAACACCTATGTAACTAACCACACTAACTAATATATGAGCCTCCGCAAATAGGAGTGATGACTTAAAGTAAACATCTATCTTTACAAAAGAAAAATCGTTATAACTTGTTTTCATCCGTGAAAAAGATACTATTTTTTTTAATTATGTCAATTTTATGGAATGCTGCTATTATTAACGAACGCCATTGCCTTGAGGAAGGATTTATCGCTAATGTGACGTCGCATTAGCTCATGCGCAGTGAGCATCAAATAGAATGTCGCATGTATTCATTCGCAGGGTAGTGTAGAGTGAGAGAGGCTAAGAGAAGCAAGGTTGTTGAGGTGGAAATAGTTCATTTTGCAGTCGGTGGTAGTTTGTCGTTTAGATTTGTTACAGTATCACCTTTGTGCATATTCGTAAAAACAAAATAGCTCTGTGAAAACGTTACCAGGTTTTGGTCAGTAACTACACAAGAACTACTGACAAAATAGTTTGTGAAACATCAATTTTTTTATTCAGTTGAACAGGCGTTGCTGACCAAGTGAACAGACTGCAGGGGAAGTAAACTTAGCTAGCCTGACTTGACAGTGACTATATCGGAGAAATCCTCAGCAGAGTCACATCTACGTCGGAATCCTCAGCAGAGGCACATCTACGTCGGAACATTTTAATCTTCTTTCTACCAGATACAGGTAACGTTTAAATGTTTTAGCAAAAAACTGTTTTTGTTATTGAAAAATGTGTAGTAATATAATCATGTCATTTTATATGAAAGGTTTGAAGCTATAACCTATACCAAAATTAATATATATTGTCAACAGTACTCATTCAGCCCTATAGCTTTGATGAAATTTATGTACAAATATCAGAGTTCAACATTGAACGAATGAAAACAAATAAAAATAGGTGATGAGTTAAAACGCAAAAATTGCCAAAGTTGCTCTGATATTAAACTGTTAAAGAAATCACAGTGTTATAACATATTGATTCGATAAATTACTCTGTGTGAATTGCAAAAGAAAAAACAAAAGAACGCTTGTAACATAAAACTCTGGGGATTTATGCTGTTTGTAACGCTACGAATCTAATTTTAAATGTATACACTTAGAAATCATTGTAAAGCCTATTTTGCGACTGCTTTTTTTTGTGATAGTGTTTGTCATTTTTATTATCTCTTGGGTACAAAATGCAGAGTTTTATTTTTTCTCTGGTTGCTGTAGTATGTTTAGTTTTCCTTGAGGGGCCGAACGTGGAGGTTTACCACCTAAATTGTTAATGAAGAGTAAAGTTGATAGTTTAAACCAGTCCATACGTGTGGTCACATGGCAACTAGTATTTGTAAAGTAGCGTAAAATATTATTTTATTTACCAGTATCATAGTCATTTCTTAAACTTAATGAAACTTGGTTTTTCTTATTTATTTATTTTTTGTAAATTCTAAGAACATTAGATTACAGAATATTAATCGTATCGTCCAGGATAGTTGACCAATATTAAATTCTAGTTCAGACATCAGTAAATAAATAACACTTGTGTCGGCAAAATGAATTATTTTATTATTGTATAGGTGGCCTCTGATTTAAGTAAGTAATATTCATATAACTTAAGCTACCTACATACACGTATCTCTGGGTTTTACATGATTTTTTAAAGCAGCCACACAGTAATGAACACAATAACAAGATCACTGTTTATTGCAGTTACAGTGATACCGGCACTTGTTAAGATTGACCATGACAGTCTAGGCTACAGCTGGACAAGACGTTGTCTTTTTTTTTTCTGCAGAACTTTAGAGGTAAATTCGACATTTCGCTAGAAGTAGTATTAGTAGGGGCGGAGTGGTCCGTGCAGTTACCCAGTACATTTGACGCATTCTTAGAATTGATCTTAAATCTTAATTATCCAGCTAGTATGCAGCATGTGATATTGCTTAGGCTAGTCCCTTAATGCCTATCCACCCCTGAACATTAGCAATGAAATCTGAATTAAGTGAAAACGAAATTCAATGTTTTATTAACTTCAGTATTTGTACGTACTTTTTGTTTTCACGTTTTCTTGTGATTTGAGACTAGTTGTAGTAAGTATTCCCTCCTGACGAGTTCAAAAATCAAATGGATTATAAACACGAAAAAGTCTCATATTTCCTTATTCATCTAGTCAGAAATCGTTGCATATAAATCGTGAGCAACCTGATGATTTGTGACTAGTTGTAGTAAGTATTCCCTCCTGACGAGTTCAAAAATCAAATGGATTATAAACACGAAAAAGCCTCGTATTTCCTTATTCATCTAGTCAGAAATCGTTGCATATAAATCGTGGGCAACCTGATGATTTGTGACTAGTTGTAGTAAGTATTCCCTCCTGACGAGTTCAAAAATCAAATGGATTATAAACACGAAAAAGTCTCGTATTTCCTTATTCATCTAGTCAGAAATCGTTGCATATAAATAGTGGGCAACCTGATGTTATTATTACATACTTTCTGAACGAGAGAGAGAATTCTCTTTTTGTAATTCTTCTACAAATTAAATGCTTGTCAGGATGAATTATTAAGTATATAATAAAGACTCGCATGAACAACTTTTTTTTTTTCCCCGGGAAGAAAAGTGTATTCAACTAAAATTCATATGTGAACACAGCGATGCATCTAACATACTGTTTTCATTATGTACATCATTACTGTCTATGGATCATCTATCCTTATATGATTATATTATTATTATTACGCCGCTTGGCCACAAAGCTAACAAAATATATGCAGTAACTGCATATGTATCTTTTCCAAACTTATCAACTGTTAAAGTTAGGGAATGACAGCTGCTCTGTACTGTTTTAGTGAGAATACTTGTAGGTGTTTTATGATGACCAGGTTTCAAAGTTGATTGACTAAAGACGCTTGAAGATCGATTGCAGGAACATTACGTAAATAAATTTTCTTTGCGTTTTTCTCTCACCAGAAAATGGGCATCCCCCTCATTCCTGATTCCGAAGACAATCATATTTCCTTATCTCATCACCGGAGGACCTTCAAGGTCACAAGAACGTACAGGGAGCTAGTAAAGAAGAGGGTCCTCAAGCAGGAAATGCGAGTTTGTATGAAAATGCGAAGAATTCACGAGTATCGTCGACTTCGATCCATGGTGCCAAGCATCGCTAAAAGGCCACACGTACCCAAGGTCAGTGCTTGACACCTCTCGCTAACTCTTTACGTGCCCACGGTCAATATATGGATCTTTGGGGCTGCCCGAGCTCGAAACAAAAATAATCTAGAGTATTAAGTTGTGCTTTCCTACTTATGTTTACATTAATCCTACAATAACGTAGTTAAGTCTAGAATAGTGTCTTGATAGTTGTATCGTTTAAGTTCTGAACAGTGGATGTAAAATGTAAACACCTGTATTTTACTGTCTAAGAAGAACCTAGTTTTTAGTCCTAAACAATATGAATATAGAGTATTAACATTTTTATGTTCTTGTTCAGGTAACGGTAATAGAAGAGGCCATCCGCTATATTGACCACCTTCACAATGCTCTTCTCATGAAACTAAGAACACGAGGTTTGCCTTCTTGTCTGCAAGGTAATATTACTTTTTGTTATTGATGATGTACCTCTCAGGCTAGTTCATTACATCAAAAGTATCTTTCTCAAAAATCTCTCGGGCAAGCTCGTTGTAGTTCATTACATCAAAAGTATCTGTGCCAAAATTTTTTGTTGTTGAATTTCGTGCAAAACTACTCAAGGGCTATTTGTGCTTAGCCACCCATAGTTTTGACGTGATGACTGGAAGGAAGACAAGCTAGTCAACACCACGATCTTCAACTCTTGGGCCACTTTAATCGAATAATGGGATATGATTGTCACTATTATAATGTTATCAAAGTGTGGAGAGCGATTTTTTTTATGTATTTATGTTTTACGCGGTAACGGGGTGTGCCATAAGTATTCTGCTTATTTCTTTACAATTCTTTGCTATGTATGCCCATAAATTGGTAACGGTATCAATCCAACCTACAATATTTAGCAGCGTATTGTTCTGAAGCGCTGTTCACATACGAAAAGTTAAAATTACATTCCACACAGTTTCTATGCTATCAAAGAGATAAATTAAGTTTTGATATAGCCAGGTTGTCTACCTTACTTAAATACTGCAATGCAAATATCTCTCAGAATACGTGTTCAATATATTACGTGACATTTTTATTGAAATATCTCTCAGAATACGTGTTCAATATATTACGTGACATTTTTATTGAAATATGTTTCAGAATACGTGTTCAATATATCACGTGACATTTTTATTGAAATATCTCTCAGAATACGTGTTCAATATATTACGTGACATTTTTATTGAAATATCTCTCAGAATAGGTGTTCAATATATTACGTGACATTTTTATTGAAATATCTCTCAGAATACGTGTTCAATATATTACGTGACATTTTTATTGAAATATCTTTCAGAATACGTGTTCAATATATTACGTGACATTTTTATTGATGTACATTGCTATCGTCGTTATTGAGCTTTTTTTAAAAGCTATAAATATTATTAATATGAAAGAAATGCTGTAACTGATTAATCATGATTTCTTCTTGGCCAATATATGAATATTTCAAAATAACTATTAAAATAGATGGTGTATAATGGTGTATCTTTATTTGTGTATTTGCCGTGTGTTGAACTTTAAATTTTTTTCTAGATTTTTTTCTCACTAGCTGGAGTACACGTCCGTTGGATGGGTGAGATAAAAACTCGTTTGTAACAAAGGATAGGAAATTGTGCTTCTATATATATTTTTTTTTCTTAACATACTAAACATTAAAAGTGCAATAAAAACATATAAAGGTACCAATATTGAAACGAAAGACACTGTTTTCAAGAATTATATCAATATGAAATTATATGGGCTGATTGATCAAGAAATGTGGAAATATAACGAAAAGATACAGTTAAAGGCAGCCAAAAAGTCTGGGATTATAACTCAGTGCATATTATATCACTTTTCCTAATCGTTATAACAGCTTTAGAAAAACAGTTCTTAATAACATCATCTTGCATTACATGAACTTGTAAGCCTAATTGTTTTATGTTCTACTTTCATGTGAACAGTAACATCTGGAAGTTAGAACTTTTTAAATACAATCCGTTCTCGACGAGACATACATTTTCTCATCAGATTTATAAATCATTTGATAAGTTTTGTAATTAACAATAACAGAAATTTGTAGAATAATGCCTCTGATTCAGACATTGTTAATATAACCTCGTACACTATTTAAACCCTCAAAAGCAGATTACGTTGAATATTTAGTTATTCCCGTGGGAAAGTATCCTTCTGCCAACTGAACCTTCCACCCTCACCCACAGATTCAAATTTTCTGTTCGGGTGATTGTGGTATTCAGTTGCCAGTAGTTTCGGTGACACGCGCCCGTCCGTCTCTTTTTAATGAAGAGATGCAGATGCTTTGAGCTAGAAGGACTAAAAGGTCATTGTGGAGCAACGTCCCCCATCTCTTTCCCTCCGCTTAACCGTGTGGCTTGGATTATAATTAAACATCCACGTGTAAGCGGGTTCCATATGCTAGCAACACAAAAGTTCGTAGTACTATTACTATTGCTAACTATTAACTTAGCTGCCACGTGCCTGGTCAATTCCACACATTTTCTGATATTAAAGCCAAGTTCATTTTGATTTTTGCCAAACTTGATCTCGTTGTCAGAAAAACTCCCTGTCATGTGTCTAACACGTGCGAAGGAACACGCACAGCACGTGACTTCCTCGTAAAACGGACAATAGATAATGTTTGCACAGGGATCAAGACACGTATTCGTCATTTGTGTATTATTACTCCAAATGACGTTAGTATATTTAAACAAAAAATTATTTGATTCAGTAGAAATAAATAATTGATACTTGAAACCGTCGGTACTTGGTGAAACTCCATAATTACAGTATTGAGGAAAAACAAGACAATTATACGTTTTACAAATACATCATTTATTCACGACCACTATTTCACAAGTAGATCCATAATCAGGTACAGAATGAAATGTTTTGTAACAGAGTTTATATATAAATGTTTAAACAAAGAACCAGACATTCACCTTGAGACAAGTGGGGTAAGAAGTGGGTTTGGTTATTTTGTGGATTAATTCATAGACTTCTGTTTATTTCTAAATTACCAGACTGTCTAGTTTTATTTTTACCTTTTTCACAGATATGTAAAATTTTGCAGTTTTGTTTCTGGATTAAATTGGTGTTTAGTTTTAATAAGATGGGATGCAAAGGTTGAATCCAATTTGTTTAATTTCCAGCTTTTAGAATGTTCTTCAATTCTCGTTTCTACACATTAATTGGTCAACACCACTGTTGCTGTACCTGAATAAATGATGTATTTGTGAAACGTAAAACTGTCTTGTTTTTCCTCAATTCCGTAAAAAGATTTAAATATTTTTACAGCATATGACATATATTATTCGTGTTTTATGCACATATTTTTCACCCATTACGTCATGTTTTACTCACACTGCGGAACATTATTGTTATTATGTTCGCAATGTAATGTATTTTTGAAAATTTATTCAATTCTGTAACTAATAGCGCATTGTTACACGTTCATCACAGTTCTTTCTTCATAGGTGTGAATATTGATATGAACAATTTCGGCCACCCTCAACTTCAAGATCTGGTTCGACATTTGATGAATAATTCCAAGACTTCCTCTATAAATTATCCTGCGTGTTTTTCAGGAAGTGCCTGCCAAAAAATCAGATCTGTACCTTCTTACTTGCTTCGAAAAAGGAAAAAGCAAACGTAAAAACCAGTTGATTTGAGTAAGTATTTTTTTATTTAAAACTTTGGGTTTTTTGCTCTTGTAATCAAAGTGTTACTCAGGTTTCTCTAGATATAAATATGGGAAGACTGATTGTCATGTTTTAATAAATTCGTTTCGCTATCGTCTGCAGACTTTATTATAATTTCATCAAACATATAAAAAACAGCTCTTGAGTCTTAGCGGACGGCGTTTCAACACAAAATTTGGTAGCTGGAACGGAATTACGGCATTTTTTGGAACCTTTTCGAAAATAATTATTCTTTTATAGCAATACTCGAATTTCACCATATATATAAAGACTCAAAATATGAATCAACTTCGAAAAAAGTAATGGTTTCGTGAATCAAACTTGACCGTATTTCTCTACCTTTTCAAATACTCGCAAACAGAAACTGTACGTTATGTACACAGGTGCCTTAACTGGGATATTCTTTAGTAAACGTGGTGAAAACAACAACAACAAGAAAACGTTACGTTTAAATATTAATATATATGTGTCAGTAGTAGTTTATGTTCAGGGTACAGAAAGTAATGTAAAACAACTGAAATGTAAAACAACTGAAATTTGTATTTTCTTCTCTTTTTCTAATTTTTAGAACAACAACAAAGATTGTAACTTTTTAGGGTTTCTTTTTTTAGGTGATTTAGATATCGAGAAAAAGGGCATGCAGGTTCGTCGCTTCCTTCGTTTTTCTCTTGGCAGTCTTACAATATCTTCTGTTGGAATTGGAGTCGCCTGTGTTAAATCTCTCAGTACGAACAACATGGGAGTAATATGATCCAGATAGCGAGTGAGTTAAAACTAAAACGTGTTACTTCAATAAATGAATACATAAAACTGCTAGCCACGTGTTAAACTGAGTTTTTAGTGTAGGAAACACTATTGTTAATAATATTGTTATGATGCTATCTAGTTAAACTAAATATGTCAAAGACATCATTTAAAGTAAATAATAAGAAAATATTTGAAAAGAAATGAGCTAATGAATATTATATCTACTGAATGAAAATAATCTATTGAAAATCTAATTTTATATATCGAATATTTTAATCTTATTTAGTTAAGATGCGATCATAAGAATTTTGTTTTGCTTTTTTATAGGGGCACATCAATTGTTCCTTACTGTCACTTATGTTTACCAGTCAGACGATCTTCTGAACTCTGTTATCTATTGTACTCTCAAGTATAACATAGAATTTCAAGTCAGGCGTAACAAGTCAGTATTGTATGTATGAGGTGGCGAATTTCAACATCATCACTGTGAGAATCTAGTGGTTTTTAGTATGAAAAGTGGTTTGTATCATCCGAGGGTTGTTTTCATAGTATACTATTAATAAATTACGGCCTTTTGGAACTTTGGGAATCCTTATACATTTATTTATGTATAGTGTGGAAAAGTTTGTAATGAGTAACGGAAACCACATCTGATGGAAGCGACGAACGACGTGTGCAAATATTCGTACAAAGTAACTTCGGTGTACATACATATGTAAAAAATGTACATAAGGTATACAAGATATGTTGGAAATTAGCATGTTATGTAAAAATATGGTTTGCGGTGTAAAAACCGACGGCTTTAAAATTCCTGTAATGAAAGATGAAAGTTCTATGTTCATGATTTATATGTGACACGATGCTTTTGTAGAACCGTTCTTGATCAATAAATGTTTTTGATGAAACGAGAAAAAATCAAATCTATTTTATTCTGTTTATTTTCATACTTCTCATACGTAGTTGAAATTCAATCACTTACTGGCGGACTAATCAAGCAACTTCATTAAACTTGGGCTTTAGAAGTTGCCCTTTATAAACCACAAGTTGACATCTATAAATATATATATATATAGTTAATAGATTTGTAAAAGACAACGCACAGACACAAGTCTTGATTTTTTTTATAAGAAAAAAAATGACATATTTTAAATATAAATAACTTACATGCATTAATTAACTGAAAAAAAAATTCAACTTCGCACACTTTCATAACTTGTGTTTGAGGGTTCCTGTAATACACGTATGTTGCTCCTATCATAGGGTTAGAATTTGTTTCATTAATAAAATAACTTGCCAACTTGACCATCACAGTTATAAAAAAAGGTTAGTTAATAGCACTTCATGAAAACTTTTGATGCTAATACAGTGACGACATTTTTGGCATTAATATATTTGTTTCATGGGAATTCCCGAACATTCGAAAGCGGCATGCCGCCTAGCAGAATGCATGACTGGAAGAGTATTAGTATAGCGAGATCGTTATGTGAAACCTGGCACATCGTTTAAAAGAAGGAAGTCTTCAATGTTCTTCAGGGATATGGAGAATCTCGCTAGAATACTGTTTAAAGCAGCAACGGACTCCGAAGCTAGTCCGGTGCAAATCCCTCATCCGAAAAAGCCGAACGTAGTCTAGTAGTTAACGTTCCAGGTAAGTCCTGCGATTCCGCTGAACACATAGTAGTTAACGTTCCAGGTATGTCCTGCGATGCCGCTGAACACATAGTAGTTAACGTTCCAGGTATGTCCTGCGATGCCGCTGAACACATAGTAGTTAACGTTCCAGGTATGTCCTGCGATGCCGCTGAACACACCACGTATTTTCAGCTGTGAGTGAGTTATTTGGTTAAAAGGTGAGAAAGCCCTGGCAGCCTTTATTTTTTGGTCAATAACTCAAAATTATGGATTGCTACACATGAACTCTAGAAATTTCCGACTTTGCTTTTAGGTGCAAAAGAAGCTGTGCAGGTTGAAAGTACCAAAAGTTACGAAACAGAAACTTCCAACCCCAAAAGTAATTCGTGATGAAACTGAACACATATTTTATGACGTTAACAAAGGATCACAAACTTGTAGCCCTAACTTGAAATAAACTTCTGTTCTTTCGTACTAAAAATAAATATCATTGACGCAATTCCCACGACTTTTGGTCTTCTTGGGTGTAGTTCTAGAAGCTAATGTCTCGATAGTTTAGGGCCTATTGATAATCAATCAAATAAGTGAACATCATTTCTTATACAAGGAGACCAAATCTGGACACATATTTTAAGTTTAGAGATTTAATTACCTCTATTCACTTGTAATCAATAGGCACTATCAATATTATCAAGGTAAAAGGAAAAGGTCCAAGGAACGGACTCCTGACGTATCTATTAGCAACAAGAGTTCAATTTCACTGCACTTCCTTAACAACATTTTGCTCTCTTTCATCTAACCCTACAATCCAGTTAACTAGTATCTTCTACAACTCCTCCCTACTAGTATGATTTTCTTAGGTAATCTTCAGAGCGGTACCTTATAAACAAAATAAATAAATAAATAAATAAATACACCAAGTCACGTCCTTTCAGTCGTCCAAATAGCAAGAAAGGCGCTAAAAATTAACAGATTAATAAGGCCAAATTTTCCTTTAACGAATTCATGTTGGCTTCATTTTATGATGTCATATTATTATGTTCACTATTTCCACAGCTCCTTTTATCAGACTGCATATAGCTTTTCCTGCCACAGACGTAAGACTAACAGGCCTATAATTTTCAAAACAACATTTGTTACTCCTGTTTAAAAATGGAAGTAATACTAGCAACACCCCATTCCACAGGTACCTACTAAGTGTCTATAGACCTACCAAAGTGGAAGGTTCGTATGTCTAATCTCTGTCTTCTTTAAAACCATGGGTATTATCTGTTATGGTCTTGCTCCCTTATTAATCTTTAACCTCTCAATTTTTCTAATGTCTGAAGATTTACCGAAACTAGGCTCCAGATGCTTTTTTATAGGTTGTTATAAAAGACGCGTAGTTTATCCTACATAATATTGTATACATCGCAAAACAAACTTATTCTTATAAAAATGGTCTGTTATTTATGTTCCTATGTGTGTGTGTATGTTAGCATCCTCTGCCCAGAGCTGGTTGACTTGATTTCCATAATGTTGGTATGGTAATTGGAAACTGCATACATAGGCCATTTTGTTTTTCGATTTTTCGACGAAAATTGGGATAAAAACACCCTAAAATATGGAACATTTCCATTTTCTTTAGGCATGTTGGAATTTAGAGATGCAAGTACTTAAGCAATTAAATGAGACAATTATTACCTTCCACAAAGCGGGTATACAAGTTAATGGTATCTAATGAAGTCATTAGGAATCTAATAACGAAAGAAGAAAGTGTAACATTATATAACATTCTCCTTTATACAATTTTTGCTTCCTTAACGGGTGGCCTGACATGGGCTGGTGTTTAGACCGGGTCATGGGCTCGAATCCCCTTCAATCAAACTTGGAAGGTATTTGGATGAAAAATAGTTTGAGTTGTGAAACATCTCAATCCATTTGACGATCGGGGTGCTCGAAAAGTTTTTAATTCTCTTTCGCCCTACTCCAGGAACAGATATCTTTCACATAAAGGAAGATTTTAGAGATATTATGGTGGACTGTTACATGATATTATGCTGCAAGAGAAAGCCCAGTTCATCGATAAAGCAGCAACAAACGAGCCTTAACAGGGCCTGGCGGGGATCTACAGATTCAATGCCTTGAAATTAGATATGTGGGAAAACGGGAGTGCCCCGAGAAAACCCACTTTCATTAGAAGGGACCGATTTTCAGCTCGACCAACTCCCAGGTTAAGACATCGTAAATTGAATCCCAATTACCGAACATGCTCGCCCTTTTAACTGTCGGGTTGTTATAACGTTGGTAAAGGAGGAAATATAGTAATTTAGTATCGTTGAATTATTTTTCCCAGATAATATAAAAAAAGTGGAATATTATTTTTGTTAAAATAAAATAGCCTGATCTGAAGACGAAAGGCGGAAGACTTTCGAAACGTCGTCTACTATATTTGTGTTTCTAGAACAGGTAGTTGCCGTCCATTCAACTAAACTTTATCAATAAAATAAACTTTGAATATCTTTAAAATAGAAATTGAACTGCTGATGATGGCGACCACGAGTTCAAGGTAGTAGAACTCAAGCGTTACTTCAGATGATGAAATTCTTAAACAAGGTCAGGAGGAATGAGACAGAAAATTTAAAGACGAGAAGAACATCATAGAAAATTAGAATAAAAAAAAAAACATTTAAAAGACTGATTGGGATTGCATGGAATTAACAGCTGTTATCAAGTCAAGGAGACAGACCCCAACTAGATCACAGGAATAACACAGAAAAACATAATTTTTTCGCTTTATTAGGTGAAGCTCAACTGAAGTACTCCATTTACTACGGTGAGAAAAGTAGTTCATTATCTGAAAAAATCGTCCACGGACTTATATATGGAAAACCTTGTAGTATGCCAATTGACACTGGTTCCACAACTACAGCTGTGTGTCTCAATTTGCTAATGAAAAGATGGCAAACTGCCTTCAGAGATGAAGAAAGAAGGGAGATTGATGTAAACAGCAGGTAGAAATAAAGTTCCAGCAAAAGTGAAGTTGGAAGTTACTCTTACTATAGGATGCCTTTTTATGCCTCATGATATGTAGGTAACTAACACTGATGAAGAGTGCAATTTTGAGAACTAACTTTATATGGTGACATAGATTTGAGGTTAGGTTAGTTTCAAACAATTTCATAATTTGTGACCAGCAAATCCCTGTGCACTACATGACAATTACACATTAGAGGATGAACTTCAGTGACAACAGGGAGGTATGTCATGGTATCACCAAGAAATGAAATACTCATATCTAGTGGCTGAAGCATAGTAGAATGGAACACTTTTGCATGTCCTGTGTGATTAATGATTTGAAAAACACCTGTATATCTGAAGAATAGAGATGTCATATGTTACATTATCCAGGAAATAACTAAGTCAGGTTGTGATATACAGAAAAGGCTCTATGATGTTAATGCTAGTAAGACCAGATTTAATCATCAAGTTGACAAGGTATGACTGAACAATCCTCATCCTAAGAAAAGACGGACTCCAAAGTAAGTAGGTGTTGTAATTAAAAGCATCAATGATGTGGTTTATAGAATCCAGAAAGACAAGCAATCTAAGCCAGTAATATTCCACTATGATCATTTTTGGAAATAATCAGTAAGAAAATGTCCTATTGGGGAGCTCCATAATTTGTGAGTGGAAAGCCGACCTGCTGAAAAGTCCAGGATTTCTGTTAATACCATGCCCAGATGTTCACAATGGACAGAGCCGTCAATGGATTCATTTGACCATTTACATAGAAAGAGCTCCTCCAACGAAAAACAGCCAGTGACGATAAGTGACAAAATGTCATTCCTTCTGAATTCCATAGTCCTTGTAAGAAAAAAAACCAAAATACTTTTTATTTGTATATTAAAAGGGACTTAACAATCCAGGAAGGGTGAAGCATTCTAGGCAATATTTTTAATATTTCTTCTAATTTTTGGCCAGAGGGAGCTAATGATTTCATTGACGTCAAGAATCTATTAATTTTGGGCAATATCTAAAGATGAGAGTACATTGTCTACAATACGAATAACTAGTTATTGTTAAGTTAAGAGTTGAATTAGTGCTTCAGTTGAGTTTTAGTGCGAATTGTCTCGTCTATTCAATCACTCGATTGTTTAGCAAGGAAATTCTGTAAGTTTTGTATTTGTCAGTTAGGCATGGGTAACATTAATATTGCAGTTACTGTTGAAAATGGAAATGTTGATTGTAAACTTAGACTGGAAGGTGCTACAGTAACAGTGCTAGTAATTAATACATGCAGATTGAA